GGATGCTTTACCGTTGGCAGGACGCAGGACTGATGGTAGCGCTCACCTTTTCTTCTCCGGACAATCTTTTTTCTGGATGCAGTTCAGACATACTAAGTGTATGGTTCTCATTCGATGGTGAGTGATATCTGTAATAGTGTAATTAGTACCAGTGCTAAAGAAATATAATACTTTAGAGGTTTCAGAAATGTGCTACCATTAGTGTCCCATGTAACACTAGTCTGCACAAACTCTGAGATATTTGGTAAAATGTAGGACTATTTTGTTATTCGTGCAGCATGAATAAATAAAAATAGCTGTGTTGCATAATTGACAAATTTGTGTGTGTCTTCCTACCCAAAACAATTCCAAATAAGCCACGAAATATGGACATTGATCATGAATTCCATTCTACCATGCGCTAGCACTTTCCTTCCTATGCTGTCTTCAACACAAGAAGTCAGGTGGTGATGACGTAACCCTGCTCGGGTCAGGATCATTAAGCACAATGTGAGCACAGACCAACAGGGGAGTGGGGGGGGGCAATCATGCTCAGGCACGGTACAAGGCAACTGGGCCAAGTGAGAATACACCCTCAAAAATGGCCACCTTCTTAGGATTTGCACATAAACGTCCTACTGCCTGCAGCTCTGCCTTTGGTAACACCTGGTTACTGAGAGAGGTCAGCGGAGAATGGCCAGGCTCATTAAGGCCAACAGGAAGTGCAGAAATAACTGCTCAGCACAGCAGCGGTGTGCAGCAAGGCGTCTCTGAACACGGCACTCGTCTGTCCTCGAGTGGTTCTGGGGACAAAAAGAGATCCTAGCTGGTACTATGTAGGTGTCCCTAACAGTGGCCACTGAATGCATGTGCTTTTACTAGCACACAATGCAAATGTTGAAGCATGTAGGCAGTATGAAATGTTTCCTGAAGCGCCGTTTGTTGAGGTGCTGTTTACTCCTCGGCAGGGTAAAGGGCCGCGTGGAGCACGACTTCAGCCGATCGAAAAACGGGAAATGGCCGTTTGGTGCCTGTGGTCAAAACTCTTAATGAAACACACTTTGTAAATTAAATGTCGTTAATTACTGTTGGGCTTGCCGAGCTGCCAGCTGCGTGTGGCGGGGGCTGGGGGCGGGGAGGGCTGCAGAAGCAGACTGGCACCCCAGTCACTTCAGGCCGTCTCATTAAACCCTGCCCCTGGGTATTTTACGCCTTTTATGGGCAATTTAATGAACTGTTTATATTTGTAGCTTTCAGAGCTAGCACAATTATTTGTGCATGCTGGCTCCGGCTCTGCCGCCGCCTGCGTGACAGGAGAGTGAGCAGTCAGCGCCGCCTGATTGGGATTAATTATTCCTGCTGTGGGAGCTGCCGACTGTGTCAGTGCTGGAGAGATGAGCTGTGCTCCTCTAGCCTGCTGCTGCTGCCCCCTGCTGGCGCCTCTGTCAGGGGAGGCCGCTCCTCTAGCCTGCTGCTGCTGCCCCCTACTGGCGCCTCTGTCAGGGGAGGCCGCTCCTCTAGCCTGCTGCTGCTGCCCCCTACTGGCGCCTCTGTCAGGGGAGGCCGCTCCTCTAGCCTGCTGCTGCTGCCCCCTACTGGCGCCTCTGTCAGGGGAGGCCTCTGCTAACGTTCTCAGTTGTCATTTCATTCCAAGCAAACAAAACACACAAATCTGTCTTTTTGTCAGTTTTTGTTGAAATAATGTAATAAATTATAAATTACTGCTCGGTAACAATAATCTGTAATTTAATTTACATTTTGTGAATAATGAAGCGTAATTATCTGTTGTTCTAACTTGAACCTATATTGCAAATAAGTCTTGCACAAGTCGATGTATGTATTATTTGTTTTGACAGAAGTGTTGATTTACATATGTAATGTACAGACTAATGCTGGAATATAGAGCAGTCTTTTGATCCCTGTCAGCAAAGGGAAAATGTGCGTTTGACGTGTATTTGTATTTGACATGTAAACCTCAGTCCTCGGTTTGATGAGATATGTCTGTTTAAAAGGCAGACAGACCATTTTGCATAAAGCTAGGAAAGATCTTTGTACTTTTTTGTGCTTCCGGGAATAGAAGCAATTTCTCACCCAAGATTAAAAAATGTGACAAAAGGAAGACCTTTCAAAAGGATAAGAAAACTGTTTTCGCTTCCATGGCAGTGAGGTAAGTTATGAGAGTACTCATTCTCTCTGAAATTCAAAGTGCTCCCGGCCTGGTTTCATGTGCCTCTCCGCAGTTTTAATTTGAGACCTCTTGCGCCTTCCCTAAACAAGCAGAAGGATGAAGTTGTTCAAATCATTTTTTGTTAAAACTTTTCCATAGGATTTACCATGAATTGCATTGATTTCTTTGGTGTGCTTTCTGTGGCGGCGTGCTGTACGGACTTGGTCAGCTTGTCGTTAGGAGGGCTCTCCAAGCTCAGGTCCTTGTCAGGAGCAGCATTAACTTCCACAGCAGAGCCGCATGGCGGCGGCTGGCTGCTGTCTGCTGTGAGCACACAGTGCATGGTTACGCTGAGAGAAGCAGTCATCTTTCCCACTTTTAGGATAAAGTCAGTGGTCTGTCTTTCTTTACGCGTCATTCAGAGTGACATTACACTGGCAAGCAAGCCATGCTCTCACACGAACCTTCTCAGGCAGACAAAGATTCAGTCCAGGATGTTGATTCAAATCAAGTGTTTCCTGAAGTCTCATTTATGGGAAAAGCAGCATTCCTAAATTTGCACACTATTGGACAGCAGACTGAATTGTGACACGCGGCAGCCGATAAGTGTCGTTTGTGTTCCTTCACGTCAACAGAATATACATATTTGTCTATTGAGACACTGTATGATTCTTTATAAACAGAGTGTGTTATTCTTTGTAGCAAAAGTTCTTGATGGTGGTTCCACTCATTTGCATTATTGATTATGGCTTAGTTAGCTTTTTTGAAGAAGGTATTTCTAAATATTATTTGTGTTGTTTTATTGTTTCATCGAGTGTCAGGGCTGTGTCCTGCCTGAGAGTGTGTGCACCGCCACTCTCTTACACAGGTCCCACAGCTTTGTCCTGCCTGAGAGTGTGTGCACC